GAGGAGCTAAAGGACGGGACAGATCAGCATGTGGATTAACGGAGTAATTGAGATTAGCGGAGTTGCAGTTTGGTAAAACCTGCAGCGCTGCGCTCACCCGCTGAATTTGACGCCTCAATTACGCAGGGCTGTTATTCAGTTTCAAGAACCACACCGTTGCTGCTAAAATAAACACTTTGGGAATAGAGTGCATTCGTTTTATACAGGAAACGCATCACAAACTGTTAACACACAGATGCAGTGCTTGATTTACAACTGCAAACACGTATCTTAGCGTGGAATTCAGAATGCAGGATACAAAAACAGAAAGCAACACAACATTCCCTTTCTCTGTAGCTTAAAGAAGGTTTCCAATTATCAAGTGCTTAAAGCATCTGTCGACCAGCCTGAACTTAAAGGACACAAAAATAAGATGATTTGGTAACATCAAGGCTTTCCCAGCGGTAATGATTACATTTGGACTTAAGATCCATGCAAGAATTTGTACTCTAGCAAATCTCTTGAGTCCCAGCCCCCCCAGCCCTCTTCAAAAGGCTGCTCATTCAAAGGGTTAGGATGTTTGACAATCCCAGCTTGTATTACTCCAGCAATTAATTGGATACCTTGTCGGGATGTTCGCCTCTCATCTGCTACTTAGAAAGACAAAGGGCTGGCGGGGGGCTGTTGACACCTCCGTGCGCCTCTGGACTATAAATTGAGACACTCCGCAGAGGAGCAGCATTCACCTTCCTGCTGGACTTGGAGAAGCAACTTTTTTTTCAGCAGAGACCTTCATAAACTAATTTTAAACAACCGTCAGCATGCAGGTACCGATCGGAGCTTATGGATACTCCGTGCGTAATTGCGCACCTGCGTCGCTGCACCTGCACTACCAGGGAGGGCAGTGCGAGTCGAAACCACCCAGTGGGAAATCTTTTACTATTGAGGCTTTGCTCGCCAAACCCGAGGACACAACCAGCGGCCGCACGAGTCCTGCTAAGTGCGGAGTAAAATACGAGCCAGCAGCACCATCTCTGCCTTTTACCGGACACGTAGGCTTACCGATAGGACCAGCTCCGTGGGTCTACTCCTCACCCAACGTGTTACACTCAGCGATCCACACGCAACCTGGATATTCCGTCTACTGTTACTCACCTTTCACCTACCAGCCATCGTGTCGAGGCGCACTTTACGCTCAAGGTAAAAACAAACAAACAAAAACATCCGAAAAGTAGTTTGTCTGTAGAAACGGAGACCTTTACGCGGCAGTGTGTGTGATTATATGTTTCATCTGTTCTGCAGCTGCAATGCCCAAAATCAACGTGGGGCTACATTCGCTCAAAACGAAAGGTGGGAAGTCAAAGAGGATGCGCACCAGCTTCACCAGCGAGCAGCTATCCCGCCTGGAGAAAGAGTTCGCCCGGCAGCAGTACATGGTCGGATCGGAGAGATTCCTCCTAGCGTCTTCTCTGCAGCTCACCGAAGCTCAGGTAATAAAATCTTACCGGAAAACACATAGTTTAGGTATTCTTTCAGACATCTCAACAACTTAGTCGTCTTAAGGTAAAAGTACGATTTCTAAGTGTCTTCTTTCTTTTTTTTTACCCCATAGGTCAAAGTCTGGTTTCAGAACAGACGCATCAAGTGGCGCAAACAGAGTCTGGAACAGCAGCAGGCCAAACTGGCCAAACTGGGCCTGGCTGCTCCACCGAAAAGCCCCGGATCTCAAGGGAACGGAGATGAGGGCGATGAGGATGAAGAGTTCTCCGATTCGGATGTGGATATTGACGTATCTGACGACTCCAATGAGCACTGCTGAACCAACCACCGGACCTTTGACTACAATAAAAAAGAGGACTTTTTTATATATATATATATGTACATATATATATCTGAGAAAAGAGGCTAATAGTCTCCAACTAAAAATATTTAATAGATTTATAGTTTTTTATTTAATTGTCTACATTTATTGCCCTTTTGATGAGTTTGTTTTTGTATATCTGAAATATTAAGAAAATATATTTTATGAAATGAATGCAAAACCTGTCCTGTTCATTCCTTTATATCCAATTAGAGAGATTTTTAGAAGTTTAAGGCAACAGCAGCAAACTCAGCAGCTTAAAGTTTGTTTGGGAAGCAGAGACATGTTACATCATGTTCTTCAAATCTGAATTTTTAATAGTTTGAGTGAATTTGCTGGATGTTTGCTGGGGTTCATTATTCATCGTCAGTGAAATGTGATCACACAGTTATGAAGAAGCAAATGAATTCATGTTTGAGGGGTTAAAAAAATACATGGCACATTAACTTCAAATCTGGTTCACTTGGTGTTTTAGAGAAAGACTTGAAATCCTGTTTTCAGAGGCATCATTTAGATATTTCAGAGTTTTATTTAACAAATAAATGAACTTTCATCTTTGCTACATGGAGCAATGTTCATCTTTAATGTGTCCTAAGCAGGTCATTCTTGTGTCTTTCTGGACTTTGCTCATTTCCCTCTCATCTCACTCTGCCAAGTCTGAGGATGATGGGAGATATTTCCTTCCAGGTTCGATCCAATGTAAAGTCTAGGTTCCCCTCTGGTTTAAGCTAAGCAAATAAATAACCAGCTCAGGGATTAGCTGGGATATCTGTAACCCAGGGTGGTAGGGGTCACTGTGTCTCGGAGCAAGAGAGCTGGGTCTCACTGTTTAATCTGTTTAAATGGTCAATACGACCGTTCTCACTGTTTCTCAGTGGACTGGGCTTCCACATGCCCACCCACCGCCAGCAGGTGTCCTGTCTCTGCTCTATTGAAACGAAAGGGACTCATGCTGTCTGCCTGGCAGACACGAGGGATAAAACAGAAGAGAAGACGGCACGTAGAAAGGATATGTGTCCATCAGAGCAGGTAATTGGGGTGGTCAACTGAAACTCGGTCACATTAAACAAAGAAGGCTGATGGGAACACACAGCGTCTACCTCTATAATCTTAAAAACATATGATGACACATTTCATGTTAACAAATGCATCGTCACAGGGACAACAGAAGGTACAAGTCAGGGATGTCAAATAGATTTTAGTTCTAGGTCACATACAGCTACTTTGATCTTCAATGGGTTGGCCAAGTGAAATTACAAGGTAAATGAGTAAAATGAAAGAAAAAGTCTTGGTAGTTCATTGCCCAGACTGTCCTGTAATTCTAAAATATAATGTTTTTATTATTTCTCTGAAAAATGTCCGGGGAGGTTTTCTTTTCTTTTTTCCCCTTTTTTATGTGACCTGGAATGTTTCTGTCATTTAATTGTTTATCTTTTATTGAATTACTTTGGTATAGTGTGAATACCAGTGGGAAGGTTGTCTTTACCAACGGGAAAAGCTGGAAAACCTATAAAAATACAGCTAAAAAAAAGTTCCTAGCTAAAGCTATGCACTCCTTCACAAGCGTGGAGTCTTCGCTGGGCCAAGTTGGGCCCCCAGGCCTTATGTTTGATACCCCTGATGTAACTAATTATATGAAGGGTTAGGCTTCTTTGCTTCTATGGTAACAAATTTGGTTGCTGAAAGTGATGATTTAAATTTATAATTTAGTTTCTATGCTCACGTTATTTTACCCGAGGCAAAGAACAATTACACAAACATGACATTTGGAAGAAAAAAGCACACACAAGTCACACAATCATATTCAATCAACAGAACAACTCCAGATGCAGATACACTTGTTTCTGCGTGCAAAATGTATTTTAGAATAAAGGTTTCCTTTCCCATGCAATATACTATATGTTTCTGACCAACAGGCCACTCAAGCTGACTAATTCACTACAAAAAGTTCAACAAAATCAAGTCAGATATTTCTTTTTCTGCCAATCAATTTAACTGTCAATTTAAATATCAGAGTGCAAGGAGACAAGGAGAAGACAGCTGGTCACCGTATCAAAGAGAAGAGTTTAATAAACGCTAACAGAGCTGATCTCTTTCACTGTCTCTTGTCCGCCACCCCCTGCCTGCTCTCTCTTGGTGCCCCCGTTTGGCCTGATTATGGCTTAAGCACCGCTGAAGGAGCAGAATTTGTGTAAAACCACAGAGAGCCGTTTCTGATGTGATCAGCCGGGAATCAGAGCCCCCTTCTCCTCTTCTCTGTCCACAGCTCCACGTAATCCCATTGAGGAACAGAAAGAAGCAGCTAGAGGCCTGGGAAAACTGAGAGAGTCCAGGGGAGGGGCGGTGGGGGTCACCGGGCTCATCGTCTCAATTAGCACAGGGCACCTTAACGGCTGGATGCTTGCCAGCGCTGACTGTGCTTCTTAAGACTCTCTGCAGGGTCCGAATTGAAGGCTTTTCTGAAAGGAAACTGTAACATCTTCACTTGTCTCTTGACCGGTCGCTCTCATCTGCTCTCGTGAGCTTTGCATTTCAGCACATTACACAATTTGTCTTGGCGACACAAACACAGTGGGCAATTTTGGTCTATCCACACGGGTCTCTTCAATGTGCCTTTGTTGGGCTGTGTTAATCTGAAACAACTCATCAGCAACTGTTTTGATAACTCGCTCAAGAGAAAAGACCACTCTTTGCTGGGTTTAGTGTTTAGAGCGTGCACATTTCAAGCTATTAACTTTGCTCAAAGCTCAAAATGTTGGGAGAATCAATATTAGGGTTTCAGTGAATAATTAATTGCAACTAAATCCTAATTTGAAGAATGAATTAGTCAATTTGGGTCTGATCTGAGTTTCTTGATGTTGAAGCTGATGTCTCGAAGTCGCTTTCTTGGCCTCAAGAACAGATCAAAGGCCAAAGCATTATTATAATAATTATTATTAGTATTAGTAGTAGTAGTAGTAGTATATTGAACTCACTTTTTTTGAGGATTATTAGTGGCAATGATGATCCTTATTTGCACCAGTGAGGCCTGTTTTATACTAGCTGTTTTATATTGTCTGGTGTACCTAATTAATTGGCTACTGAGTTTCTCCCCACCAAAAAATTTAAATACAGTTCGTCACATGACTCCCATGAGTTCTTCTTCGCCTTCAGATTGTAATGCAGCTTTGAGGAGGTGTGAAAGTTCTCATGGAATTCAACGACCTGCAGCCTCAATGGAGAGCGCACTCACGCTTTAACCAACATGCGTTTTAGAGCAGGCGATCGTAAAGGGGGGGAATCCCTCTTTGCATTTTATTTGCAGAGGTAAGGGCCACTCTACTCCATCTAATAGTCATTAGCTTTCATTACAAGCGTTTGAAGTAGAGGCAGGGCTTTGTCTCGACGTGAAAGGCTCGCATTTGAGATGCACATTGACTTCTGACACGGGCACGGACAAGAGGGGCTCATGCTCGGAGAACAAACTGCTTCTTTTCTTTGCCAGGAAACAGCAGTTCCTGTTAAAGTTGTATACAGAGACGGAGGACGCCATTAAAGCTGCAGGCTAAAACAGAAAGACCGCCGGATACCGACTGTGCAACTTTTACGTTCGACAGCAAAACCTTTCATCAATTAAGTGTCATATTTTAATTGTATTGTATCTGACGTCCCAAACTGAGATTTCAAACATATAATCTTAACACTAATGCATTTCCCATCCCATTATTTTTTCCCCAGGCCTTGTTCAAAGTGGGATGTTTGTTTATGCTGAGGAGGGGAGCCGGTGGAAGAGCGGGGCCCGTACAGGTGGCCGAACGACCGCACTTCTTATGCAGGTGCCACAAACGCAGAGACGTGCTACTTTTCTCATCTCGTTATAATGGGGTGAAATTTCCCAAGTATTTAAGTGGAAGAGATTAGCTGAACACACAACGCTAATGCGAAACAAAATGGCTAATTAGTTTATTAATGAACGGAGGAAGGGACCGAGGCGGTCTGCGGACTGATTTGATCTCATGGCTTTGATCAGCGTTAGGGGAGAACGAGCAGACAACACACGGCGCTGATCTTTGTCACACAGCCCCAAAAGCTGAATATCCCAATATTTATTTAGTTATTTCCTTTTAATTCACAAGTAATTTCATTAAGTTTCATTTAAAAAAATAATATGCATCAGTTAAAACTTAAACTTCTTGTTTTCCAACTTACAAGCCCTCGTGAAGCCCCTCGCCAACCTGGAACCGCTGAGGTCACAACTTCCCTTTGATCTCCGCGGATAAACTCAAAATCCTTACAACCTTACGGTTCCTCACCTCAACCGCTAGATGGCAGCATTGACATAGAAGTCGGTGTTTTTCAGGGAGCTGTAAGAGCGTTTCAATCTTCCGCCACTAGAGGACAGCACTAATCTAAACTGCCGTCACTCCTCACAGTTGTTTCCTTTTTTGACTGTGAGGAACTGAACAGTTTAAAATGTATTATTATTATTATTATTATTACTATTAATTTTGTTGTTGTTGTTGCTTTTGTTGTTGCTGTTGTTGTCAATTTCATATCAGTTGATTAACATTAAAAATTATAAGATAAAATTTTATTTTAAGTTATGGATAAAAGCAGGCTGTTTAGGGTTTACCGTAAGCGTTTTTTCCCCCCACTCTTCCATCCGGTTATTTCTAGCTCCTGCAGGCTACCTGCATCTTGGAACATCTCCGATCTCTCTTCTGGGTTTTCTTAATACACAAAATGTGCAACGATTTTTTTTCCTCCGGTCACACTGGACATATTCATACGTGTGTTGGGTGCTTTAAAGAGTTGTCATTTATCTCGTTTTATTTGATTCTTAATGCACTAAATGAGAATTAAGATCTCGAAAAGGTTTCAGATTGTTGCAGCTGCTACATTGAAATGTCACTATAAAAGCTTTAAGGAAACAAATCCATTAAAACAGTCAGTGCACTATTCTTGAAGATCACTTTGGTCAGACTGAGTAATAAGGGGGCCTCGGGGGTGAAATCAGCAACAGGTACGGAACAAGGTTAGAGCGCTTTCCTTTGTTTTTTGTTACAGCAGAGCGATTTGATCATCTATTAACCAGCCGCGATCAGGGTCAGCGCGTAGAGGCCCACAGGGTTTCATCATTAAACTCAAGGCGGCATTTTTAACCCACTCAGCCATCCTTCAAGTTCCTGCTTCTGATGCTCCGTTTGGACTGTTTAGATAGAGAACTGAGCTGCGTGACTGATTCCTGAAACGTTTCCCTGTAAAGGCGGTGTATTCATCGGCGCTGTTTCCTTGTTCCTCTTATCTCTCCATTCTCTACCACTATAGGCTTGTGGAACTTACCGCTGACCTATACGACTAAAATACTTGTGAAGGTTAAATTTAAAGAGTTAAAAAAAACTCCAGGGTTTAATTTTACAGCTATTTCGCGGCAGACCTTTCAATAGACACTTATAGTTATGCCACAGATGTGGATGATTTCCTGGCAAACTGTATTAGGAATTTATGATCCACCAAGAATGAATGTTAAAATAACTGAATAGCATTTATGCGTCGCCACAATCCTCACCGTGTAATTACTATAACTAAAAGAAATGGAAGTGTTCAAGGAACAGCCCCATATTAAGCTTTTCGAACAATGACCCATTCCCAGAACCGATTGCTGTCTTTAGGAGCCTTTAGCTCTAAAAGCCTAATCAACAGCTTGTTTTACCTCATAATTTCCATCGGTAATGATTTTCTAATGCAACCCCAACGCGAAGGAGCATATTAAGAGGATAATTATTAACTTGGTTAGCGCGCAATGGAAGCTGAGCGCCGAGGGAGCAGCTCTAGTAATGACAAACAGACTTTCTCCTGCTAAACTGTCCTCACAGAGGACAAACTCACAGACGTTTTCTTAAAAATATATATAAAAAAAAACACGAGGCGAATTAATGACGCCGTTATGTGCTTACAATAAAAAGTAATAATAATAATAATAATAATAATAATGATGATAAATGAGCTTAATTTTTAACATAAAAACGCGAGCACACCATTAAAAAATACAAATACACGTTGTGACCTGAAAGATGCTTCGATCTGATTCGACCAAATTTAAAAACGTTTGCTTGACGAATTTAAATTTTAAACAGAAAAAAACCTCTAAACTAAAATTAAAAATAACACCTGTAACAAATATTATTTCTCGCCTTTTCTCCTTTTTTTTTAACCGGAGCTGTTAAGTCGAACGTGCACTTATTATTGCACCGATTGAGAAACATTTTAAATCCACGGAAAATTTGATTTAAAAAACAAAACAAAACAATCAGCGGGACACCTCACTTTGTAGAGAGAAAGGATGCTCTGCTGCAGGGAGTCTGACTCACCAGAATCAGCATTCTTCACTGATTCATGTTGTTGTTGTCGGGTTTGTTTGTTTGTTTTAAATATATATTATGAAGATCACATAAAAACATGAAAGACAGACGTGGAGTTTCGACTGTAGTAATAATAATTAATAATAATAACCTCAATAAAAGAAAAATAAGCGGTATTTGAAGATAAAACTTTGTATTGTCTTATTCTGAGAGGCACATAAATCTCATAATATAAATCTAATTTTGCTCTTGTGTGTGCGTGTGTTTGTAATGAGAGTTGAAAGAGAGCCTAAACGTTAAGTTAAAGGTGAAAGATCCAAAGTGTCTCGGTGAGTCAGCTTTAAAAAAAAACCAACAAAACAAAACTTCTTAACGAGCGTCAGTCAAATACTGACACTATGAGAATTCCTGAACTGGATGAATCTGCTGTGGGACGAGTGGGACCTTCTCACTCCCGCAGGCGGACTAGTTTTTTCCCCCCTCCTGTAGAAAAACTTGACATTAAAGCTGAACGCGACATGCAATGACCCATTAATTGGAGCATGCTAGTTTTTCTCAGCGTGCCCCTGTAACTAAGCTGCCCGGTCTTGTGTGATCTACAAAGCAGGTACTTGAGGAGACCTATTGGCAGGTGCTCTGGTCCAATCAGCTCCCTCTTTCCGCGCAACGTCAAGCCACATGGAAGGTTTCGGGCGCTTTTCTTGGTGCGCATTTGCGCGCAGAAACCCTCCGAGCGCGCACGGGCTCGGTGAATCAGGACAATTTGCAGCACTGTTGAGTTTTCTAGCAGCATCTTAGAGCTCGTGTAGACAAACCCTTCACCCACCCTCCCCTAACACCCCCACCATCTTTGGCCATGATGCTTCTCTGAGAGTGGGCTTCTTTTTTTTCCCTTTACAGCAAGAGGAAGGAAAATAATAAAGGCTGATCGCGTTCTTTTTGGTTTCCCTTTCTACCGAGAGATGATGTTTTCGTCTGCAGGCAAGCGCTGCTTCACGATAGAGTCTCTGGTCGCTAAAGAGAACCCTCTAACAGCAGAGGATCCCATCCGCCCGACGGCTTTAAGTTACTCCAACCCGACGACAGATGCCTTAATGAACAGTTACCAGGCTCCACCACCGGCCAGGTCCCTCTACCAGAGCCCGGACCTGGTGTTCCCGGAGACGATGAACCACCCCTCACTCACCGTGGCTCCTCACCAGCTCGGAGGATCCCACCTACAGCATCCGCACTTCTTTGGGACGCAACACCGAGACCCGCTCAACTTTTACCCCTGGGTGTTACGTAACAGATTTTTTGGACACAGATTTCAAGGTACGCGAAAAATGCGAATGCAAAACATAATAATAATATAATAATAATACTAATAAAAGTTTTTTTAATTATTACTTCGCTTAAAGATTTGCAGATGTGTGCGTATTTTGAGGTCCACTGTTGGGCTATAAAGGCCAGAATTCTTAGTCTAGAATTAAACAATGCGTTATTCTGTGCGTAAAATGGTGAATAAAGTAGGTGGAGGTGATTAAACTAATAAAATAAGTGTGTGCATAACACGTGGTTTCCATAGTAAACCAAATATCTTTGTGTGGGATTTTTTTCAACAATATGACTGTAGATTTCAAAAGCATTTTTAGTCGAACAATAAACTGTAGCCGCAGATATCACAATCCACAAGACCACTGACAGCTTGCAGCAGGCTTGTTGGGCTCCTCTCATGTTTCCCACTCTCGTTTGCCCTGCAGCTACTCTCGGAAAACCACAGGAGGAAAAGATAAGCAGCCGTGTTGTGTTTTTTCCCCACATAAAATAAAATTCGCCTTAGGTGAGGCTACAGTTTTTTTCATTTAATTAAAAAATCTTGCACAAAAGCCAGTCCACAGAGGCAAAATAGATCAAATCTACCATAATAATTTCATCGTGAGGGGAGGGATGCGGAATAAAAATCTGATGCAGAGAGGCTTTGAACACAGCTAGTGGTGACAAACCTCAGCCACACCTACCCTCCAATAACTATACAGCACTAAGACCTGTTATTAGTAAGACATGAAAGATAATCTACATCTTTTTATTCATTCAATCATTTTTAATTACGTAATTGTCTGGACAGAAAATGTCATTTTGGGGGGAAAAAGCAATGTTGCAAACGCATAAAGGGCCCCTTAATTTAAAAACAAAACAAAAACAACTAAATAAATCAAATATCTGTATCATAATTATACCATAGGCTAATTAATACATACATTAGCCTTATTGGATGTAATTGGGTAATATGGGGAATTTAACAGAATTTGTAAATGTAAAAAAACCCCAACAAACAAAAACCCAAACATTTATTTTAAATAAAACAGTTTGCACCAAAAAATAACTCTGAGAAATATTGACCATAAAAAAAATTCTGAAAAATATTTATACCCTAAAAAATGCAAAATAGATCAGACTAAAGACAATAACTTTTAAAGACGCATTTAATATATTTAGCTGTAGTCACATAAATATTTTTTATATATTACGATGTGTTATGATGTGCTATTTTATGACTCTATTCCGAATGTGTAGCCATGTACTTTCTTATTTAACTATAAATGTCTGATCCTGATTTTTGTCACGATTTATTTATTTTTAAAATGTGCGTAAAGTCATTCAGCCTAAAACTGCGTTATAGGGCAAAACTGTCTTTAATGAGTTTACCAGAAAATGAATTTATTGTGTTTTTTTTATCAGGTTGGACAGTTTACAATGCCACGTTCAAACGGGCCTAATAAATAGCACGATTGTGCAAAACAGCATTTTGTTATCGTACTTTTGTATTAATACGCTTCTTTTTTTTTCCAAATGTCAATTCTATTTTATTAACAGAAACAGTAATAAGTGAACCATTATAACTTGTTTTGTTTTTTTCTCGGGAAAATAAAATAAGAATGAACTTTTTCCATGACTGACGTTACCGTTTCGTTGACTTCGCTGTCAGGTAACGACGTGTCCCAGGACAGCCTGCTCCTCCACGGCCCTTTCGCGAGAAAACCCAAACGCATCCGGACGGCCTTCTCTCCCTCCCAGCTCCTCCGGCTGGAAAGAGCCTTCGAGAAGAACCACTATGTGGTCGGAGCCGAGAGGAAACAACTGGCCAACAGCCTGAGTTTATCTGAAACGCAGGTAGGTTAAGCTAACGCTTGCTTGTTTAAATTAATTGCTAACGTCGCTTACTTTTGTCGTCAATACTATTACTGCTAATAAACTATTACTAGCATCTGGCTAGTTCTGGATACTTCTATAACGTTATCCACACATAGCTACAGCTAAAATAGCCCCAATATTTTAAAGCCCAAGCAACGACATTAAAACGGACAGCAACAAAAGAATAATAAAAAAAAATAATTTATAAAAATAATTTATATTTATTTTCTTACGTAGCCAACAATTCTTTATATGTTATATTATAGGCTTTTACTCGTCTGTTTAGTTGTTAGAATACATTTATTTGAATGAATGCACTGTATTGCAGAAAACTAGATTCAATTGTAATAGTTTATGGCAATTTTATTTGTATAGCACATTTTATGTGTAAACTCAATGTGTTTAACATGAAAGATAAAAACATAAAACCCATGTAGGTCTACTGTGCCTTCAGGCAGTAAAAATAACAAAACAATCTTTACAAAGATATAAAACACAACACACACGTACAAGGTAACACACACTGTTATTAAGTGCAGAGCTGCGAGAATGATAAAGTCTGAAGTTTGTCTTTGATTGTGGACAGAGCTCTGACTGACCTCAGGGCAGCTTGTTCCTATGAACAGGACCCGGGTAGCTGAGAGCATTCTCAGCACACTTTGATCTAATTCTGGGAACAGTTAAAAGATCTGCACCTGATGACCTGAGAGGTTTAATCGACAGGGAGCAAGTCAGAGATTTATTGCGGGGCCAAACCATTTGGAGCTTTCTGAATTATTAGGATTTTAACGATGATTCTGTGCTGAGCTGGGAGATTTTAATATGTTCAAATTTCTGCGTATTTATAAGGACTCTGCTGCATTCTGGACAAGCTGAAGCCTACTGATAGTTTGAATGATCCTTCAAATGGAGCATTACAGCACTCTTGATACGGATGCATCAAGCACTTTGATATAAGTATTTTCAAACTTTTTAAATATATATTTAAGTGGCAGAAAGAAAAAACAGTTCTTGTGAATCTGTTAACATAATGAAAAACAGAAAATTAAAGTCCAAAATGAAAAAAAGTTCCTGACTTGATCACTATGTTTCAGAGACAGAGATGATAAATATACAAATATTTTCTTCTTGTTATTCTAATTTCAATAATTGATACGTTAGAAATTTAAATTAACAATAATTAACTGAATTTATCTTACATGACATATCTGTAGGCCTGTGCACTTGCATTTTTTTAACATTTACCTGACCCACATTTTGCAAAGAGTCTCTCAAAAGGATTTCACTCATGTATGCTCTACTGTAAGCTGTGGTAAATATTATTGATGCTTAAGTTTAATGAGTCCACACTCTGTGGGTGTCAATTAGGCTGCCTAATAGGTAAGATTAAAAGATATTTCCTCAGTCAGCAGTGTGAATATATTCTGCTTGCAAGTTTCTGGTTTGTGTCAGTCAATAAGGCGGCTTGCAATTAAGCAGCAATTGAATTATGCAAATTTTAAAGACTGTCAAACGAATACTAATAAACTCACTTTATTGGATCAGCAAGATTAAACGATAGCATCTACATGGGTGATAGCAAGGCCCATGTCATCAGTTTATCTTAAAGTTAGAAAATTTGGATACGATTAGTCAAGTCACTGTGGTCATGAAATAAGCACGAAATACTGTAATATACTATAACGTATATAATGCAGCTCACCCTCCACCCCTTTAGCTAAACAGGTCATTCACAAATTACTGCACTGTACCAAGGATCTTTAAGCGTTTGCTCTGAAAAAAAAATTACCCCAAAGCCGAGCAAAGTAAAGATTAAAGAAAAGTAATGTAAGTGTGAGTGTGTAGTACTCTGACTACATACGGGTTAGTCAGACAGGTTCATATTACAAGGTCACAGCAGCAACTGTCTGGAAGCTTTTAAGCTTGATATTTCACGCATTTTATGCCATCCTTAGTCATTAAGTCTTTATGTGCATTTCTGTTTTCCCTCTCGCTTGCTAAACAGAATAAACTGCGTTGCTTTATTTTATTTCCCTTACTGCATTTCAACAATACAAGTCAGAAACACAGTTTGCCAAAGCACATACTTTGTAGTACCATAAAGAAAGAGAGAAAGGAGCTTCTTAAGGAGTAATTATTGTGCCTTTATTAGATCAACAAAACCACAACATGGCCATCATTTATCTTATTAGCTGCTTGTGCGTTGGGAAACTCAAAATGTGCATCTAAACAGATGTTCGTTAAGTCTTTTCCTTTTTCTCGGGTCACACACTGAGTGCTTTTCTCTATCCAGGTGAAGGTGTGGTTCCAGAACAGGAGGACCAAGTACAAGCGACAGAAGCTGGAGGAGGAGGGACCAGACAGCCAGCAGAAGAAGAAGGGGAACCACCACATCAACAGATGGCGCATCGCCACTAAGCAGACCAGCTCCGAGGACATTGACGTGACCTCAGAGGACTAAATCTGCGGTCCAGCCTCTGACAATGCTGCCCTACCCCTGCGTCTGCTTGTGACGCATCAGAGGACCAATACTATTTATTATGTAATATTATTAAGTATAATTAGACACATTAGAGGAAGACTCGAGGACTTAATATGTGATCACTGCTCATCTCTTCATCAAGGTGCTATACTCTGTGACACTGGGAGGGGTGGGGGGCATCTTATTTAATGAAATCTCCTCTGATTGTCTCTGGATGAGAAGAGATTCTGACATCGTTTGATCATTTTGGTTGTGTGACAGCCAAACATGAAGAGACATGACACCCTCTACCATGGTGTTTTTGTTGTTTTGTTTTTTTAAATTGTACATAGACCAGTGAAGGTTACGTGTTTTTTGTTTGTTTTGTTGGGGGGGGGTGTTACCACTTGCTTAGGTCATTAACACTTCATCGCTCGCCCTACTCCACCACCTGTGTACCAAGTTAATTTAAATTTCTCCTCACTTACAAGAAGGAGGTGATCCACACTATGAATCCACCCGGTGAGTCGGAGGACGCACTCGGTGCCAGACCGGAAGAACAAAAACTGGGGAGAAACAAACAAAAAAAATTACGTAAAGGAGCACGCATCTAAAGAAGATTCAAAGACCCTGCATGATTTTATTCCCACTTTCACGCCTTCAAAGCCGTCTTGGCTCTTTGTTACACTTCCTAATGAAGATTCTTCACAGTAATGTGACTCTTGGCCAGCTGTGCATGACTCTGGGACAGATGAGAAGCTGCAGAGACCTCTGGTGTTCGGGTTAACTTGAGCTGCATAGTACAAGTTCACAGCTTCGTGCTTCTTCTGCCATGGCACATTTGTGATCGTGAATGTGTGCAGATTTCATCCAGCACTGTGTAGTACAAAAACGTAATATGACCAGAACAGTTGTGCGAGCGGAACGTGTAATTACAGAAAGATGTTTTAGAAATAAAAGTAAAAATTATTTCTCTGATGGGATACGCCGTGTGTGTGTGTGTGTGTGTGTGTGTGTGTGTGTGTGTGTGTGTGACTCAAGTGTTTTCTTTTTAAACTTCAGATACTGCAAGATTACATTTCATTACAGCCAGTGCAGTTGCAGATTTGATTTATTACGTCTTACTTTCAAACTCAAGATGCATGCAAGTGATGGGAATGACAACCCGGCAATACTGGAGCACAAATGAAGAATTTTACTGTTCTTTTTGCTGTAAGCTGCAGCAAGCTTAGGTGGGTGGTGCAATCCAACATCCCGTTAAGGTGGTTTCTCTTTGAGATTGATGTGTCAGGAATGTTGCCGGACAGCTGCACAGGTGTCAGGTGTGTTAGCCATCAGTCTGTATTTCCTCTGAATTCCAGCAGAAATAGCACAGAAATCATTCCCATCCAGAGGCTGAAACTCCTGGAAAAAAAGGAGGGAAAGTAGTTGGCATTGTGCAGAAGCCTTTTCACCAACTGCCACAGTAATCACCTGTCAAAGGAAACGGAAGGAGCCTCTGCCTAATGACCCCGAGGCTTTAGAGATGAGCCCTGACGGCTGACCCTGATGACTTGTTTTGTAAGCTAAGAGGCACGGAGACGTACGAGTAAAATGCACTGCAGTAGTGCTCACTTTTTTCTTGTTTTTTTTTTAACAGCGGTGCACAATACATCAGACATCTGGAGGTGTAAAGGGGCCATATGTTTTGTTTTGAGTTCCAGGATATCCTATACTCACTGCAGGTGCAAATACATTGTAAGAGACATTGACGGTTTCCAATCATCTAAACAAACACAATCAAATGGGCTTATTTTTAAACAGTACAGTAGCTCACTGACACTAAAAGCTGTCTTGACGGTGAGCGGGTTGCTTAAGCCTAATCACATCTTGATTAGCTATAAGGTCAGCGCAATTAACGCGAGCTGCACCTCTAAGTCGTCTGTTAGGAAAACAATTAAAGGCAAAAATCAAGCTCATCTCCCTAAACGCCCGGTCTCGTGTCGCCTTAGTCAGCAGAGGGGAGAGTTTAGGATGAGAGCAGGAAAACAGCGTGAATAACAAGTGTCTCTCCAGACGTGTAGGTTTAGGAGCTGCTGTTGTTGCTGCAAAGGTGTTAGAAAACTCGACCGAATCACTGTGGGTTTAATCAGGATTTTCTCATTACTTGCTTTCTGGGGGATGATTGCAGCTTTGTTTTCTCAGTAAAACATACAAATTACACTGGCTTTAAAATTCCTCGTTGAGTGATAAATCATGCAGTGCAACGCACACACAGAATTACACGTCTAATTACTGAAAGAATGCTGCTAACTATGCCCTGGTAGCATTTACACGGAGCTCAAAGTATAGCTGAAAAACTGAAATTATAGGGCACAACCCACAGCACCTTTAGAGATGATGCTGAAAAACATTTGCTGGCTGAAAAATAATATTCAACATAGATGTAATTAGAAATAAATAAATGCAATATATCACCGTAACCACGTTAAGCAATTTTTATTTTTGTTATTTTATGGCTATTTTATTGTTTTTATTTTAATGTTAAATTAAAAAAATTAATTTACTGAATTTCAGTGAGATATTACAAAGCTAGTAAGCAGCTTCCGGTGATGGGACGCCTTGATCCTGCATTATAAACGTCTCAGCTGTTGGATAAGCTATGGCGGTGGAGCCACTCTGCTGGACAAATTATGGCACAATTTCTCAAATCGCATGACTTTAATGAATTGTGGCCTTCTTAAAAAAATAATAATAATAAAAATTAATGACATTTTCTGCAACATGTTTTCCACAGCTTTATGATATGCAAATATCAGCCAACAAATATCAATATCGTTCAAGTTCTGTTAAAAAAAACAAAAAAACAATACCTTTTGATTATCAGTTTATAATCTTCCTCAAAGGTTTCATATACTCACCTACAAGAGACACACAATTGATACCCAACCACACCCCCCTCTGGATTAATCAGACAGATGCTGATAAATCCACTGTGGGTTACAATTTAAATTACTAGCTCAAAAGCTACAACATGGTGCTTTGTAACATCAGATGACATTACAGTTAACAGGCCAGAACTAAATCTGATGACAATAACTTGGTGAGAGATGTGCGTCGTTATGAATGGGGTTTTGTTTCCATTTATTCATCTCACCCTGGTTGTGTGCCATAACTCACACCCAGCAACCTCCACTGATCCTGCATGTGGCTTCTTGTTGAATTACACTGGAGTGCAGCCTACTGTGCTGTGTTCCCTCAGCAACCGGGCAAACATACTAATCACACACATCACAGCAAACCATCTTAATACTTTGAGAATGTTTAGATAAATCGAGCATGAATATGTACACAAAGAGAGAGAGCGAGAGAGAAGTCTCTGGTTATAAGACTAATAAAAGAAACAATTTGGAAATAAAATGTCACAATTGTGTATTTATTTATGCTTTTGCAATATTTGCTTAATTATAATGTTCTGGTTTTCACTCTGAACCAAAACTGCAACTTTTTTATTATTTGCCATTGTGGTTAGAAACTGAGTCACTCTTTCACTGGAGGAATTTAAAGCTGATAGTGGTCACAGGGAACACTTGGCTCATTGAGATCCAAGGAAACTTAAACAAACACAATCAGGCTGTGTATATATTTGTTGTGCAGACACCAGAGCAAAGCTACTTTAAAAATACATAAATCAGTAGTTGCGAACGTGAGTCACAGCACCCCAAGAGAGCAAAAATAATCATTCAGATTCAAAAAGATTGATCTTGGCTGCTTTCTTATTTCCACGTTGATTGAAATACTTCCAGGTTATAGACATACATCGCCTTGGGTCACAGGAAGGTACTGACTCATATTGAAGGGTCAAAAACAAAAAAAAAAGGCGGGAAGCATTTGTATCTTCATTTCATTCACAGTTTACACATTTATTTGTCCAGACATTTTAATTTGCCCATCTTTGATCTATGGTTAGCGGTCTGCTCGTTGTGGAAAAAGCCTCAAGGAACCAAGCAAGCTTATGGGTTTTGTTAACCTAATTAATCAACCTAACTGGGCTGTTACCCTCAAAATGCACTTGTTTGGCTTTGTCTCCTCGTGTTGTGATACATATTTTCTTATCACTGTTGCTGCTGATTCTTCGTATCAGCTGTTGTTGTCCAAACGTGTGCTAAAGCCACTGCAGCAGCAGCCAAATTTGACACAATTAATTCCCTGGCAGCGTCGGGGCGGCTCGAGCCACGACGGGCTGCGCGTCCTTTCTTCACATTTCAGTTTTGGTAGCGATCACTCAAAGTCCTTTATTGTATGTCACAATCTTACAGTCGGTTGCCATGGCAATCTCTGGCTCCAGCTGATCTACACTGATCTGTGGGAAACCAAAGCAGGACAGAAAAGGTCAGTAGTGCAAATGGAAATATTTCGCACAAATCGTCAGATATAACAGCTTCGATGCAGTATGTGCGTGCTGTATATGCAACCGTATATCACCGACACGAACCGCTGCATAGAGACTGGAAACTGATTGTAATTCTCAAAGGCTTTAAATGTTCTGTATTTACTGCTAATGTGCAAAAAGAGCCAATTTGCCAGATTAAAGTCTAATTTGAGGTTTGCATCACCTAATATTTGAACCAGAGACAGATGGCTGTTGGAGTTGGAGGCAGAATCCTAATCAGACATCTTGGTAGGTGTGAAATGGGGAAGTGGGACAAATTGAGTAGGCGGGGGGTCCAAGAGAGTGGGGCATTCATGTTGCTTTTTGGGGAGATCTTTTTTTTTTTCCCTTTTTTTTTTTCATCTGCTATCCTTGTGAAAGTGCAAAAAGGACTTGTGAGAAGAAAAAAAAAACAGGCCCCTCTGTGGAACTGGAGGCAGCTTTTCACAGGACTGTTGGCGGCACATATGTCTGAAGTTTTTTGCCATATGGCTGTCTGAGCTATTTCAAGTGGTAATTAAATCCTAAACATTTTAAAGCCAGAGCTGGTTGGCTTGTGTCAGCAAGTCATTTGGCAGAGAGGAGACAAAGAGAGAGGGAGATGGAGTGGAAAAACATAATTGTGCCATTGCCGTTTAATGAGTAGAATGATACATACTGAGGCAATAAGGCTAAAGTTAGATCTCAGCCCGCTAGTCTGGATGGCATCAGTGGCGGTGAATAAAGGCAATGGTGGCTCTGGGCAGATCATAACAGAGCAGGTTGAGTCTCAGAGGGCGGCGCCTCATTAGGACAGCGCTGCTGCACAGCTCAATGGGAAATACTGGAGAGGTCAGGAGACGCTGGTCACCGACATCATCATTCAACCTGAGGCTTTACATTTGCAGCTCTGTGTTTGCAATGAACAAAATCTCAGGACTGAGCATGAGCAACCGAGCATTAGGCAGGAGAACAAAAACTGTGCCACCGCAGAGACTCAAACATTCATAATTTAGACACATATGCTCGAACACACATCCAGCATATCTGCAATTTTAGAAGACCCAATATAAAGCCCTGCTTAAGTCTGTTCTGTTTTATTCAATGTTGAAAAATTACAGCGGGGGAAATGATTATTTGATCTCCTGATGAACTTGTAAGTATGCTCACTTCAAAATAAATGAACTGTCTTTTTTTATGGTATTTTCATTTTAATGCAGAGAGAGAAAATCAAAGGAAGAAATATAAAATGACCATCAGTGAGTCTCGGTTTGGAGCTCCATGCAAGATCTTGGCTCATAGGATGAGGATGATGATGAGAACGGTGGTGGATCAGCACAAAACTACACCGGAGGAGGTTGTTAATGATCTGAAGGCAGTTGGGACCACGGTCACCAAGAACACCATTGATAACACAGTTCCAAAAATCTTTGGAGGAAGAGAAATGCAGAGTATGACCCAAAGAACATCATCCCCACAGTCAAGGTGGAAACATTATCGAATTATCGATCGAATTTCCCAGAGGAACCCACCCGAGGGATTAATAAAGTTCTATCTCATCTTATCTTATGCTTTGGGGCTATTTTTCTGCGTAGTTTAGAAGACGGCTTCCTCAGTACCGTGATATCTTGCCTGAGAACCTCCTTCTCTCGGCCAGAACACTAAAATTAAATTGGGTCATGGATGGATCTTCCATCAGACCTCAAAACATACCCCCAAGGCAACAAGCAAGTGACTCTGGTTGATAGTTCGTCTCTCTCAATTAAAATAAAACGACCATAAAGATTAGCCTGTTCACTTCACTTCAAACTTACAAATTTAGCAGGGGATCAAATAATTATGTCTCCAACTGCATGCTCCTTAAGAGAAAAAGAATTGGGCATGAAGTACCTGCGACATCTGTGGAAACAAACTGATGGCAAGCGGCAGAGCCAGGCTGAAGGCAGCGAGACACACGAGACTGTGGACAGGCAGGACGAGCCTCTTTTGTCTCTGCAGGAGAGGGAGCCTGACGGGAAACAGAGAAGAAGAAACAAGTCAGTTGTCAGCCATACACCCAGACCATGGGCAAAAGCAACAGGTTCTCACACACAACACAGTGCAACATAGCCTGGGCTGCATATATAGTCAACAAACACACATATGCTATGAGTGTTTAGGGACCAACCAGCTACACATTTTAAAATAAAGGTGAATAAAAGCTGGATCATCTTATTATATTTATAATCTTCTGTTGAAAACTTTAGGTTCTGGCCAGGGTCCCAGCAAAATGTGCTTAAGAAAGGAACATGACAAACACCCAAGACATTGACGGAGTCTCCAACTCTGTTCAGGTGCCAGTCAGCACAAGACCTATGCAGCACTAGGCAGGCTACTTTTCCACACCATTCATCACCGAAGTTAATTCAGTGCAGTTAAGCTAAATAAACCCCGGCAAGAAAGTCATTTGTCAGGACCTGATAAAACTCACGTGGATCAGCAGGTGAGCAGATCAAAACATTTTGATTTCACACACACTATCAGCTGTCCACTCCGTCGTTACACATGTTTAGCTTAAACAAGCCTTTAATCACCATTTATGCAGTTAAAACTGAACCGCATGATCCTTTGCTAACATTTTGCAAAAGGTTTCAAAAGTGTATTCCCATGAGCTAAAGAAAACAAATGCATGTTAATTTTTTTAAGGGCATTTAATAAATCAAACGAATGAAATATGTTTCTCCTCTCTCTCCTCGCTAACCCTCCACTAGGATAATCCCCCTCTACATTGAGCGGGACAGCGAAGCTCAGCAGGAGCTTGAGAAAGAGCCGCTCTGTCTCTCCACCGCTAGCGACGCCTCTCCCCCTAACGAGGAGAGCTACTGCCTAATGAGAGAGCTCATTAACACATATGGCTGCCATGGTTTAATTAGGCTCCGTGCACACACACGCACGCGCATACACACACACACACACACACACACACACACACATACACACACACACACACACACACACGTGGAAAACTGCATTTTTAACAAAAAAAGTCAACGGGAGAAAAGTTGCAAGGTATGTGAGACGTGACAGGAACTTGGATTCGGGCTCATGTGCAAAATTTAAAACCCCTTTTTGGTCAGGTGAAAAACCTGAAACCAACCAAAATCAGTGATATCATTTAATGTAATACTGCATTCACGGGATCTGACTACAACCTGGCTAGTGGCCATATTTTGGTCAAGGTCTTACCCAGGTTGAACTGTTTACATGGACCTGTGTCTCCCTGTTACCATGATCAAACTGGCTGTTAGACTATCCCCTGCTGACCTGTGGCGAAACACAGCACTAGATGATGATGGAGGAAAAAAATAAAAAGCAGCATCATAATCAAATTTAATATTGTTAGTCGTTCTACTTATAACTAAGTGCATTACTGTGAAATGAAACAGCAAATAAAAGCATCAGAAATTAACACATAATCAACTACAACTGTTTTTCCCCTTTAATGTGGACTAACAGAAACAATTTCTAAATTACTAAATCTAGGATATCATATTTATATTGTTTATTTTTATTATACAAGTGTCCTAGAGTTTGCCCAAAATGTGCCCAAATGTGTTCCCATTTATTAAAAATGAATTCCTGACAGCGAAACGGTTCATTTTTATTCACTCGTTCGCTTCTGCTGAGCCATCATTTGATTTATTTTGACATGTTGGCCAGTTAGAGCAGAAAGAAGCGTGCAAACATGTGTCAAGAGGGGTTGTGTAATACAGACTTTTCACAAATGTTACAAAAAAAGGAAAAAATAATGGTGAGCATGTCTATTTTTAGCAATATATCTTTGGTGTCATATTTCAATATGAAAGAGCCTTAACATGGCCAGTTTTGACCATTGTGTTTATCTAAACAGTCTCGCTACTGCTACTGCAGGAAATATACTATCATTTATATTATTAAATTGTTATAAATAACACCTGACTTAGAATTTAAATGCTGAAGCAGTAAACCTGACTCTGAATCAGGTAACCTGGGTATCTTACAGCAAATGGAAATTCCCATTGCAGATTAATGTAGTCTGGGACTTAAATAAATAAACAGATGAAAGTCCAGAATTCACTGCACCCCCTCACAGCTACTGAAGCACATGAAGGCCAGAACCTGCAGTCACTCCCCGTGTATCTGTTCTCAGCAGTGTAATCCATCACTGAGGGGCCGCCCGGGGACGTGTCTCCATCCCCTTGTTCTCGCTCCATTGAGAGCCAGTGAAGGCGAGCTGATGTGGAGGACGGCTGAGCAGCGCTGCAGCCAACCCTCGGAGATCTACGCTCACCCCACCGCTGCTTTCTCTCTCGCTGACGGTTCAGTCATTCAGCTGCCAGGAATCCCAAACACACCTGGGCAGTCGGCCCCACCGACTGAGCCCGCCCACTCTGAGAGGTCTAGACAAGTGCTGTCAAGGATCTGCAGAGACCGCTGCATTCCTCGCTGCACCACAGGCACAGTCGCGCCATCGATCAACGGGCATCTGCATAAACACCCTTTGTCATTAAAGCACCGTTACCGTCATCGCACACAACGCTGAACCAGTAGAGCTGATGTGCAGTATCGAATCAGTATTAAACAACAGCCGAGTAGATAACGAGAGAATCGCAAATATTCTTTTCTTGAACAAAAATTGGACGGCTTTATAATTAATTTGTGGTAATTTAATTAGAAGACAGCTGGATCCTTGAATTATTCTAACTCATGAAACTTTCACCTCCTTCATTACCGCCATAACAGCATAATCAGCCTCTTTAAAAAATAGTTTATGGAATTTGATAAAGACAGTGATTCTCTCCATTAAGACTTAATTAAATTAGTTATTTTCCTGCTGCAAACACTGGCTGTTTGTTCTTCTTTTCCTAAATAAAACTATTCATATCAAAATGAAATCATATTAAAGAATGCATTTAAAGTGCAGAGCACAACCTCACTACTCGTACAGACAACAGAGGTCAACATCAGCAGTTCCAACAGACACAATCTACAATTAATAGCATAAAAAGCCAGAGGAGTCAACTTTCCAGTGAAAGGAAGAGATCAGTCTCCATTGAAAGTCAAGATTATATTTTCATTTGAAAGACATTGCAGGGAATTCTTTATTTGATCAGGAACAGTGTGGTTCTTCTACTGTTATCCTGTTTTTGTGGATATAAAAGCGATGGATCTCAACAGCACACTTTAAGACAGACGATAAGGAATCAGAAAATCCAAACATCTAAACGGCATCAACATCTTTCTGCCTTCAGTCGTCCGATACATTCACAGGATAGCTTTATTAGGTGCACCAATCGGTGCTAGTATCGGGTTGGTTCCCGTTTTGCCTTCAGAATGGTCTTAATTCTTCATGGCAGAGATTCAACAAGACGCTGGAAACATTCCAGACATATTGACATGACAGCATCACACAGGTGCTGCAGATTAGGCAGCTGCATGTCCGAAATGCAAATATCCCATTCATATTCAAGAAGCCAGTCTGAGATGATTTGAGCTTTGGGTTATCCTCCTGGATCCTGGGAATGGGAAGGTCATCAGCAATACTGCTGTGTAGGCTGTGGCTTTTAAACAAGTCTGCCAAGAAAACACCCCAAATACCATTACACCACCACCAGCCTGAAACATTTATATAAGGCAGGTGGGATCCTACCATCCGAAAGCTGTAGCAGGAATTGTTTGGCACTGAAATGGCAGCAGATCAGCTGTTTCTGAAATACTCGGAGTGGCCTCTGCATCATCAAGAATCACTTCTCTTAACAATTCTGATGCTGGATTTGAACTTCTGCAGGGTGTCTTGTGTTAAACAGCAGCTGAACAGGTGGAAACACACAATGGCTAAACTAAGTTGAGAAGTGTTTCTTACTTTTCCAGTGCAGACATGATCAGGGGAGGAAGCACCAGGATTGGCATGGGCATGACTACTCTGGTCAGGGCCGTCTCCAAGAGAGCCTGCATAAAAAAACATAAACCAGGAATATTAAAAAATACAAATAAATTTGCTTTGAATCTGGGAAACAATGCAATCATTTAAGTGTTTAAATGCACGAATACTGACGTGTGAAAGCAAAACACTTAAACTTTAAATTGTTTGCTATTTAAAAGCATTGTAGTGCATATGTTGCTAAACAGCAATACCAATAACATGATCCATTTAATTTTCAGAGCTGAGGACATACATGCCTGGCAGCTACTCTTGATGTTCCCACCACGTTGCCGTTGTTGTCGAGCACGCTGATGCCCTCTGACAGCTCAGAGTGTCTCATGAGCACCACGTTGCAGACATTTGCACTCGCTGTGAAGACAGAAGAAAGTTTTTTAAGATCAAAGGGAAACGTGCCACTGCCACTAGGAATGTAACATACAGTCATATTTGGAATGAGGAAATCGTGATGTTATGGACAGAGATAGAAAAGGTTTTTTTTTTAAAAGCACCGTTTTGACAGCCTTAAAAGTAATCAGTCTACTAACTGATAAACAGGTTTTCTATGAAGACGCCCACTGGAAAAGGGAGGTTTGATTTCCTTTTATAAGTCCTATAAGGATGAAGGACTAAACTTTGTTTGTTCTGAACTGCATGGATGGATTCAGAAGTTGCACATATTCTTTTTCAAGATGTAAACTCCACATCAGTGTCCTGTGATTATTAAATATTTGCTCAAAAATAATGAAGCATCTTGGCTCTAAGGATGGTAATATCAGTCAATGGGTCACATGGCTGGGTCCACCACTTTGATGAAATTCAGAGTGACTAACCTGTGGCGCTGACTTTTCCTCTTGGATTTCTACGAGCGTGACCTTTTGTTTTCTTGTGAAATATATTTAAAAATCTGGACTGACATTAAATTTACTACAGACCCTGATGCGCTACAATAACTTTGATGAGCCTTTAACTTTTTATCATGAAGTGAAAAATCATCATTTGTCCAAAATGTTGTAATGTAAGAATCAGCATAAAACTAACTATAGAACTGGCAGCAAGGCAGTAAAACTGCAAGGACACTCAGCTGCCAACAAGAAATAATAATACTTTAACACACAGATTGATTAAAAAAAGAAACTTGTAATACCCGTACATAATGTTTCTTTAAAATTATATCATATAAGGCTCGAGTCATCACTTATTTGTTTCCTTTTTGCTAGAAAAATAGGAAATAACTGCAGTGTGTACATGCAAACATGTGCAAATATACACAGAAATACAGTATATTAGGCAAAAACAGAGTTTGTACAATTCTAATGACATTTAAAAGTCAGTATTTGGTGTGACCTCATTTATTCTCCAACACAGGCTGAACTCTCTTAGGCACTCTCCCCACTGACTGTAGCCCCAAAGCTTGGCAGAGCCTCTGCCGTGCTTCACAGATGGCTACAGACACTCACTGTTGTACTTTTCTCTCAATCTCCTCCGTCCACACTGACAATGACTTGAATCAGACTTAAAAATTGCTTTCATCACTCCATAAAGCCTGTTGCCACCAACTTTCAGTCCAGTTCTTGTTCAGTTTGTCATACTTCAGCCTGTTCTCCTTGTTTACTTTCCATAAGAACAATGACAGCCACCCTTCTTTCACTGACACATGGATCAGCTGACGCGTTGGCTGTATCACTCAGGTCCCGTGTGAACCCTTTGCTGGATTTTTTCCTATTTCTTAAGGATATAATTTTCAGATACTGTTAATCAGCTGTAGACATTTTTTAGGCCTGTCACAGTTTCCTCAAATTTTTTGAAGTCACACTGCACGCCACGCTGCAATAGGCCAAGCTGTTGACTCTCTGGTAATCACCTATTACTCAAGATAATTCATTTTAAAAGATATAAAGAAATGAAGCATGGCTCAAGACTTGCACAAGACTATTCTTTCAAATGAAATAACCTATTAACTACATTAACTCAAGGATTGGCACTAGACCTATAATACAGATAAATAATTTCTGTTTGCATATTTACATTAAATATCTACAACTGCATGTTATTTGCACATTTTTGGTTACACAATAATGTTAGATGAGCAGCCTATCATTGATCTACAGTCCATTTTAACACATCAGGATATGCAATTAGGTCAGAAAACACCACAGCTTAAGAAATCGCTTTTGCCCTTGTTCCCTCCTGTAAGGAAAATCATCTCTTGTAAAAGAAGCTAACAGGCTGAACTGACATTGTTATGAAAACTCCAAACTGCCAATTACCACCGCTGAGTGTCCCTGTGGAAGACACTGAACTCCTGTTTACTCTTCTCACTCCTCAAATGAAGAACATTATTGCCATGTCATCGTGTCAGCGTTCAGAAAACTGAAGCCGTGCCTCTGCGAGACTCTGACACACACAACAGTCAGATCACAGAGAGGCTGGCAGGTTGACAAACAGCGGCGTTGCTTCCCTCTGATTATTCACGAAAACTAAAATGAACACAAATGTATGTTAATATAGATTAACCTTTCTTCTTGACTCTAATAGGAATAAGACAAACTCATTTTAGAGAGTTTAGTGGTGCTGCTCCGAGCCTTTTTAATTTAAGACAACAGCGTTCAGAGTTATCTCTACTAAAGGCCGCAGGGCTGCCAGGTCGCTTTGTGAGGGGAATTCAATTGACTGAGCAAATAACTCTTTTTACCTATAAGGGATTTTTTTACCCAGACCAGTTAAAAATAAAAAGGGACAGACAGGGTTGTGGCGAGGAACAAACAGGAACAAACACTACAGTTAAATAGAAACTCTTAAACACATAAATAAAAGCATCAAAGTAATTACTAAATTAAATTGATAAAATGCAAAATCTGCACAGCTTAATGTTGAAATATCTGCCTGTCATTTGTAATTATTTAAAATAATTACATTTGTGTACATTTTAATCATCATCTCATAACTGGTGGTACACTCACAGAAATACATCCAAGAATTTTTTGTACATAATTACTTTCTAAATATCACAAATAATGACGAATAAGACAACAAATAATTAACCCCCTAAATTTCTGCCAGCGTGGCTTTCCCTCCAGTTAAGGTCTTCATAATCTAATTGAATGACAGGCCGCCGCTTGATTAGGTTATTACAAATAAATCTAGCCTTAAGTAAGCAAACAAAATCAAATGGGCGAAAATTCAAACGGCCCTTTGCTTTCGTTCGCTTCAATTAGCCATTTTAATTACCTCTTATATTGGCCTAGCAAAACAACAACAGGAACAACAATGAACAAACAGAAATCAGGTAAATGAGGCCTTGACATAGACGCCACTTTAAGGGTAATTATCCAATTTGTTTGCGGCAGCAGAGTTCTAACAAGCAGCCAATTACCAGGCAAAGGCTGCGCTGTAGAAACCTGTTGATTTAATTAGAAGAACCGCCATGGTAAGGAAAGGGGGGGGGGCAAGCAAACAATTTAATTATGAGCCAGCAGCCCGGGGCATTCTGGGACACGGGTCTATACCCCTGGGTGTGATTGTGTTTGCGGGAGAGTGGCATGAAAATCAGCTTTGTGGCTGCACACACAAAGCCGGCTGTCAACGCGACGGTAAGCCTGCAGAGAGGAGAGCGGGCGGAGGGGAGCGGCGTGAGACAAAAATCGCTCTATTTAGCTTTCATACAGGGAATTATTGTGATCAGAAAACAGCTTAAATAAAAAGGTATAATATATCAAGAGCAAGGAAAAGAAAACAATCAGCTTGTGTGTGCGTTTTTTTAAATATACCTTTTAATAGCAATTATTGCAGAGCTGTTAGCCAAAGGCGTTTCATTCGTTTCTATAAAACCCCCAATTGTTTTATTACTATTACTAAAAAATATCTAAGCTATGACATTTACTTTAAATGTCCATCCAGGGCTTAACCCTTCTCTGTCCCACGAGAAGCTCACCTGACTTTTTACATTTTTATTTAACTTACCCACTGCTGGGAAGGGGATGAACCTCTGCACCAAAAGCCTGGTGGTTGGGCTGAAGCGGCTCGCTCTCTGGATTAAAACGTTTAACCCAACCTGAAGATAAACCAGACACAGATGATATGATCAGACACTGTGTGTGTGAAAAGCCAGCACAGAAAATTTGGAATTCAGAGCTCTTTCTTTCAAAGGGGATGAGCAGAGCACGAGAACAGCCACCACCAGGCTTAAACATACAAGCATCAGAAAAAGGATCACTGGGAGAAAGTGGACTAAAATTATGGGCAATGTGTTTAAACATTTGATGAACGTAACTTTGCAGTGTTTTAACATTTCAGATTGGTGCATTCAAAAGGCTATATTCGCTCAAATAACACACCACCACGCCACTTCATCCTCCAGCTCCCTCTAGCCCTGCGGGGGGTCGTCACCAGAGCGGACGTTTAATTGGAGCGTGCCTGCCCCCCTCCAGGGATGTCGTACCAAACTCCAGACACCCCGCAATTTCTTTCTGTGCTTGCTGCCATTGTCAAGCCTGAGGGCATCAGCCGGATGAACACCCAGCAGGACCAGTAATTGGCTTGGTTGGAGCTCCTTGTCCACACTAAGGGTTGTGTCAGGCAGGTGTGTGAACGGGTATTACGCCCCTATGACATTTTATTCTGTGGTGACATAGAGGTAAGAAGAGACGTTTAAGTGATTGGGATATTATGAAGTCTGCTTTTTTTATAGTTATGTTGATATCCACCTTATTTGAAATTTTGCCATTTTGGATATTTGGTGTTTAACTGAAGAAGTAATGCGGTGAAAGACCACATGCTGAAACTGCACAGAAGCCCAGATTACCAATATTTTCTTCTGTTATCAAGGTGGTTACAGGAACCCTTCGTTTAGTGTATGTAACAGACAAATTAATAAATAATCTGCAAAAAAAAAAGAAGGCTTATTGAACATTTTTTTTCCCATCTGTGGGTAATGAAGGGATTACAAAGACCTGCTTCTATACATTGTTCCTAGTTTCAGTGAATTATCAGTTAACCTGATGGATCCTTAGATGTCGAATGAGACTAATACTACTATTTGGTGATTTTCAAAAGTCCTTTATAATGGCCGATATAATCAGAGATTTTTTTCAGACACAGCACATACACAGATCCCGCAAATAGTTGTTAATGAGTCTTTAGTCCACAACAAATCATGGATTTCTCATTTACATTACTTGGATCAGCTGGTTGTTGGGTTTGTGGTGTTCCAAACATTTGTTGCCAGCAGGGAAGTTGCACTGTTTTGGTAGAAAAACTATGCAACATCAACACTCATGCCAAGGTTGAAGGCTTTACTTTTTTGGTTTTTCCTTTATCAGTCAACACAAGATTTGCTGGGACTTACAGCAATGGACACTGCACTGGTAACCGCCCCAAGGTATCCCAGCAGGAACTTGGAAGCTGGAGCTGGCTAAAGTGGCAGAAAACAAGAGGAGACAACATTATAAAAGCACTTTAGCTGAGCAACAGAAAAAGGCATTTGTAATGTGTGTAGTAATGGGCCAGCTGGGATGCCATGCAGGTACAGTACCTTGGAGGCATTGCGGTTGCTGTAGTTAACACAGGCATTGTGACTTTGGTTCAACCACTGCCGTACAAAGGAGAGGAAAGTGAAAAGTATAGTAAGATGTAATAAACTGCGATAATAATAAGTTTCATTTAAGGTGATTCTCCTGTGCATTTAAAATCAGCTAAAAGAAGCATCTTAACCTACAGGCTCAGCCACTGGCTCTATCAAGCATACGAGCAGAATCAGTGACAGAAGAGACTCCGTTATTTAAACAGTGGCAGCCTCTGTCTCACACCACCCGGATTTCTTATAATTAATTCTTAATTTATTCTATTCATTATTGTTTCTGCTTTTTTAAAGCATTTTCCATTAATCCCGCAGCTTTACAACTGATCATTCTTAGTTTTATCAAAACAAAATCACATCATAGTCAACACTTGCTCATTCGTTGTTTTTCTTGAGGCACTACCTACAGCATATGTGCCATGTTTACAAAGTGAAGTAATTTAGAAAACCAAACTACGCCAGAGATGAATTTCGAAGAAATACCTGCCAGAAGACGGTAGATGCAAGTGTTTGATTAGGGAGAAGGAGGCCAACAACCTGCAAACAAACAAACAAAGAAAGAAAGAAAGAAAGAAAGAAAGAAAGAAAGAAAGAAAGAAAGAAAGATTTCATAAAGGAAAATCAATAAATTATCATTATTTGTAGCATTGGTATTGTATGAGTGTGTGCTTTGGAAAAACAGAGTTTATGAAAACCACTCTTACCACTGGTGTGCCAAACGGGATAAAACCTGGTAAAAGATGATCAGTATTACCACTCTTACAATTTCGCCTCTACCGTTTTTCTCAGATTTACTATAAATCTATTTTTTTGTGCAGAAATGTCCAAGCCCTTCAAAAAACACTGTTCTCTTCTTTCTAACTTTGGATCACGAGGCCAGTTCCTATTGGTCTGACATTCATGTGGTATGTTGGTAATTACATGTTAATTGCTTCTGTCCTTTCCTTCTTTTCTTTGTTCTCACTTCCACTACGGTCATCGTACAAAAAGGGTGCTTTCAAACTGAACCAAAGTGCTAGCATTTGCTTCTTCACAAACCCCAAGTAGATCTCTGTCAGCACAGCAGAGAGGTTTTAATCAGCGCCCAGCTGAGCGTGACCTTTTCCAGGCCTGAGACAACCTGAAGAGCCCTGTTGAGCCATGACAGTCTCTAAGGTGAAGACGCCTCCGTATTGGACCACTTAAAAGCCCCGAGATTCCCCTCCACTCCAAAGTTTCCACTCTTAGATACGCTACCTGACATCCGAAAAGGCATGAGGATCTTCTCCCCTGTGTCGGGGTGGATGATGGCCTGTAATAAGTGCATAATGATAACAATCAGACAGTAATGAGCACCGAATGATTTGGGTTAAGTCAGTTCATATGACTTATAAAGAGAGCACTGCTGTGAAAATAACTAAAAGAAAGTTACTGCTCAGGGTATTTAATATTAACTTGAATATATAAAAACCACTGAGAAAATGGTTTCAAATCAATAGATTAACCAGTTATTGCTAATCGACTTATTTATTTACATCACTCATTTAATCATATTTCAGGAACAATGCATTGCACTTGGGGAGCTTTTGAAAAATAACCTTACTCCTTTGACAAATATAACAGTTTGACATGTTTGCAGTAATTTAACAAAATTCAACAAAAGTTGTTATCTTCACAAGTAAAAGAAAAATAGTGACTGAGTTGTCGGATACAGTATAACGCTTTAAAGCAAGCCAAAAGTATTCACCACAGAAAAAGCTCCCTTTAAGAAGCTAAAGATGCTAATGCTAATGTAAAATACTTGGAATAACAATATGCTGATGCATAAAAGTACGAAACACCAGTGTCATTACCAATTGTGGGGTGCCGTAGAAACCCAACCCTAACACTTAACGCAATATTTACAACAAATCTAATTTCTGTTATGGTTTGGGTAGCGAGAGCTATCGTTTTTAGCATGTTAGCATGCTATCATCTTCTAATTTATATTAAAACACAAAGTAAAGTTGAACCAGGCAGTTTTCATGGACAGTTAAGGGATGTCTAGTGAATGAAATTTATCCTGCAGACTGCCTGCACACACTGTCAGCTGAATGTACGAACTGGTTGCAACCACATCGAATGGCTTAATTAACTCCCCCGAAACAGGGAGCAAATTTTAACAGCAGTCTTTTCAGCTAGACTAAGGTACGAGGCATTTTCAAGGTTTACCTTCTCATCTACCACACAAGAAAGCATTTGATCAGTTTCAGATTCGTTCTACAACATTACAACAACTTAACCAGACGGTCAAAGTGATAAAGAACCACAGGAAGGACCGGCAACATTAGGTAAGGCCACCATAGAGCCACGATTCCAGTGTCACTGAGTGAATCTTGGATGACATAAAGAGACAGAAGCAGCCAAAAGGAATTATGGCAGGTATTTCTAGACAAATGTTATGGTTCAAAAATATTGGGGATGGAGACAAGAGAAAAACCACAATAACAACACTGGTCCGGTCGGGTTGAGTCAAACGATGATTTTAATGATCACACGCGTGGGAGATGGACACTGATGCAGACAGCCTCAAAATCTCAAAATGGTGGAGCATTGCTCAAACTTTTATAGCCTCTGGTGCCTCCACCTTATCATACAAAGCCTAAACATTCACATGCTTTCTCTCACACAGCGCCTAAGCTACGACCTTGGCTCCCTGTTTATCTGCTCCTGCTGAAATGGGGCAGAAAACTCCAGCACACTCTGTTCTCTTCTACTCAGACAAATTAGATTTCTTATAACTCAGCAGTATAATGCATCATAAAACAATATCATTCATTCACAACAAGTCAGCAGTTTAATGTAATGAAAATCAGTTTAACTAATGCAATCAAATCAAAATTCCAGATTCTACTACATGTTGGTTTTGCACCAGATAGGACGACAGATTTCAGGTGGCCCTGTGTCTTTCTCTATTACATCTGCCACTGCATCTCGATAATCTTTGTGTGGCTTTTAGTGGGTCCTGACCCTCTCATATTTTGAAAAATCTATGTTTGAATCTCCCTTAATAATTCTGTTAAGAATTCTCTCCGCCTTTGTCAAAAGTTGTGTATTAGGAAAAAGTGAAATAAATATAAATATAAAGTCCCAATGTGTAGAGCACACATTAATAAATTAGTCATGTTCCCTGTGAAAGTAAATGAGCCTAATTCTTAAAGACCCCTGAAATTATTTACTAGATGTTTATTTTTTGAATAAAATAAAAATCTGAGTTTAACAAAACATTTTAAATGTAAAAATCAAGCTTACCTTTCTCTCTTCCATAAAATGTGCTTGTGGGCACGCCAGCCATTTTGAAAAGGTGGGAAAAACAATTGACAAGGCCACACCCCCACACATGTGATATAATTTTAAAGGTACTGTTGTCCTCTCTAAGAAACATCAGGACTTAGAGGAGTGGCAAGTAGAGTATGAGAGCTACAAGCAAAAACTAAAATGTGTACTACAGTGCGCAAAAAATGAATTACTGGGTCATCAGGGGGTCTTGAGGGACATTTATAAAACAAAAAATCCCACAAACCTTAAAGTGCACTTGAAAAGCTCACACAAGAAGGTTAACCTAGCTTACCTAGAAGACCTCATCAGGGGGAGCACACTCCCCCTCTTTTTAGAGCTCACCCACTTAACTCGCATCCCAAGAAAATAGCTAACCCCAGATAAGGCAGCGTGATGCATCCCGAGATAACAGGACTGGGACATCTAAATAAAGGTGTGAAACAATCACCTTCAAAAGGTTATCAATTCACTTCAACCAAAATTAGGACCACTCGGTGCGGCAAGAGTTAATAGTCTCAATACCCAAGGATAACCAGAAGAGCATGATTGATATGATGGAACTGAGATTTTGTTACACTTAACTTTTGCAAAACACAAATAAAACTAAATTGAAACTAAGGATTTTCAGAAAATAAAAACTAAACTAAACTAGCAAACAATTGGTAAAAACTAATTACAACTGGCAAAAAATTGAAAATCTGGAGTCGAAACTAAATAAAAAATAAAACCTAATGAAAATGGCGAAACGTTTAAAACCCTGGTGCAGAGATTGGCAAATCTGACCAGGAACGTTATAAAATAGATTGTCAGAACAGTCAGCGTTAAAGCCACATTTGACAGTCCATACTAGGATGGCACTGGACATCTTGGGGGTGGAAAGGGGTTGGTGTGACCAAGGTGTGGTTTGGCTTGTTGTATATATATTTGAGATCATATGGCTCTGGATGGACCAGTTAGCAGGGCATGGAAGGAGGACAGACTCATTAAAGGAGGAGAAGGAACTTCCTGGGATTGGAGATCCTCTGGGTGAGTGGTTGATTAAAAGCATGCATAAAATAGAAGTTATCTGTTGTTATTGATTGGTAATAGATTGATAATTGGCCACATTTACAGCTGTATTGACTTGTTGTGGACGTAGTCAACTTCAGGTTTAAACACTCTAATCAACAGGTTGAAAATAGTGACATTAAAGGAAGAGTATGCAGCACCACCCTGTCAGACGCCAGTGATGGTGGAGCTCACTGATGAATCAGGTGAGCTGGATTCATGGCTGATTCAAAACTAAGATCCCCCTGCTATGGTCAGTAAGGGGAGAAAAGGGGGTGTTATACTGTTATTTTCAATGTCAGCATTATTATTGTATGAGAATCATGCAACAAGCATTGCATCGATGATCATTTATTGAAGCTTTTGACCTTATACTAACATCTGTGTTCCTGTGATTGTTATAACCTCTGATGAATCTTCTATTTACAGGTGTTAGGATAATGATATAATTTTTCATTGCAGGTGTAACCATGATCATTTTCATACATATTGCAACTTGTTGCTCATTGTAGAGTTGTGCTCAAGTTAATAAGGGTTAAAAGCTACAGTCAGCGCGAATGTCTGACTGATCTATTGAGGGGAAAGGCTTCGAGCATAGAAGGCCGCACGCGCTTACAAAACACTGATATCATGTTATTCTTTGTGATCTTTTCTTCAATTATGTCTTTAAGGTTAGTTTAAATAGTGGCAGTTAATTAAACGACATTTATTAAAATATTAAATACCTGAGTCAGAACGTTACACGCGGATCACCTTAAGAGTCTGGGAAACTTTGTAGCTGCCTAACTTTTTTTTTGAATGTTCTAGCTCCGTTGATTTGACACATTGGAATGTGTCAAAAAAGGGGGGAAAGGTTGAGCTTTAACATCAAACCAGGATTATTTGAACATTTTATAACTTCATTTGTGTCTTTAATAATTTAGGAATGGTAAAGCTTAAGCTAATAGCGGTCCGAGAAGACGGACCTTTTAGAGAATCAGTGAAAAAGCATAAACTATCACTTTCATGTTTAATCATTACTCATTGAAATGAACTGAATAGCGCTTAGAAGATTTGTTAATTTCTTTGTCTTTTGTTAAAAAGAGTGGTTTCAATAATTTTCAGACACACCTTGCAAATGTGCTTATAACGAGTTGGCACTCGGCCTTTTGAAGGTCAGAAGCTTCGTTCGGCGTGACTGTCCGGACTGATAAAGTGTAGGAAACGCCTTGAGTGCAGAGGGCTAAATGCAAACACGCTTACACACACATAAGATATGATTAGAATAAGTCCCTGGGACATTCTGAATGTTTTAGACCAATTTTGAATCACTAGAAGGTCAGTAGATAACAACATTAGATTATTAGGGTTAGGAAGAGAGGTGTTTTGGTTTTCTGTCTCTTACAGAGAAAGGAACAGACACCAGACGAGGTCACAGAGATGCGAGGATCCTCCGTAGCAGAGACAGACACAGTGACTGCCGAGACATCAACTGGGTCCAAGGGTCATGGCGTTTGGGCTCCAGCTAGTCACCACAAAAGGATGGATCCCATAAACACAACAATAACCATGAAGGGGTTGGCGGAAATCCGGGAACACCAGACCAACGAAGTTCGAGAGGCTTTTGGGCAAAAAGGGGACACCTTCCTGTTCCTTTTCTGGAGAATACACAGATCGTTGTTTGAAATCGGGGCAGAATAATCCCCTGATCTGTGTCACGACTGAAGGGTTGTCTAACCCCTAAGGTTGAAGAATGAAGAGCAGAGGATCACCCAACTGGACGACACTGGTAGCTGCAGCAATAGAATAAAGGCTGAAAGCAGTGGGAGACAAGGAGAGAGTGTCATCTGGACCTGCTACTGTTGGAATCATAGTTTTTCTTGCATCTGAATTGCGCAAACACAGAGGTCATCCCACATATGGTTCGCCCCTCAGGGGGACAAAGGACCTCAGGAGTGAGAAGAGATGAACCCGGCCACACTGAATTGAAGGGTGTTTGTGAGGTCATTATTCTAATGACCTCATCAGGGGGAATTGTTAGATTATAATATTATTTTATGCCATGTTATACCCCTAATTAAAGATTGTGAATTATTATGTAGTTTTAGTTTGCATTATTCTCCTGAATTAGAAGAAGCTGATAACTATTGCATTAGTTAAACTGATTTGCATTACATTAAACTGCTGACTTGTTGTGAATGAATGATATTGTTTTATGATGCATTATACTGCTGAGTTATAAGAAATCTAATTTGTCTGAGTAGAAGAGAACAGAGTGTGCTGGAGTTTTCTGCCCCATTTCAGCAGGAGCAGATAAACAGGGAGCCAAGGTCGTAGCTTAGGCGCTGTGTGAGAGAAAGCATGTGAATGTTTAGGCTTTGTATGATAAGGTGGAGGCACCAGAGGCTATAAAAGTTTGAGCAATGCTCCACCATTTTGAGATTTTGAGGCTGTCTGCATCAGTGTCCATCTCCCACGTGTGTGATCATTAAATCATCGTTTGACTCAACCCGGCCGGACCAGTGTTGTTATTGTGGTTTTTCTCTTGTTTCCATCCCCAATATTTTGAACCTTAACACTTTAGAAAGCCCATTTACTTTTAAATGATTTTAGAAGGATTGTGGGGTGTTTTTTGTCAATTCTACACAAATATTCAAGCAATTACACCAGACATTATCCCGTCAGTTTGCTATTCCCACTGTTACAAAGTAGATAAGACAGATGATGTGTCTTTCCCCCACTGCCTTAACACTGATCAAATCTGCAGATTGGAAAAGAACGAAAGCGATTACACTGCTTCCTCAGGCTCATGGAGCCAAGCTTCGACTTGTGAAAGACCACATACGTACATGTGATAGATATACCACTATCATGGCTGAATATAGATTTTCCTCTTAGTCTTGAATGAACTTGGGATGCAGTAAGAAAAATCTGGAGACTAGTTTAAACTATAATGATCTAACAAACTACACAAAGAGTTCTAGGTCTTTAACACTCAGAAAGAGTATAAACCTTAGAAGCACATAAATAAGGCAAGCACCATGCTGAAGGATAGGTCGGTTTTGGGGAGTTTTGGCAGTTGACAACCCTGAAACCCTGCAAGAGCACCAACTGTTTCATGTTCTCATACAAAAACAAACCTGGACGTAAGCCAGCCTTCAGTGTTCATATGGAGCCCAGTTTGAGCCGGATTTGGTTTCATTCCTGCAGAGTGTGAAATTGTTTATGTAGACTGAACTGCATATCCTACACATGAAATGGAAGCAATAGCAACCATAATGATAAAAGAAGAGTTACTTACTTAAGATTTGTCTGAACAACCCTTTATACACACATTAAACCTGACCCAAAGACAAGTTTATGTCGACAAGATACATACTTTAACGTAAAGTCCACTGCATCCCATCCGTGGTTTAGAAAATTAGTTCTAAAGATGAGAGGATACTTATGGTTCATCTGTATTTAGAGTGTTTGATTAGATCCTTAAATACACATTTTAGTGTCGAGTTCAATATGAGCAAAAACTGAGATGTAACAGCTTTTAATTTTTAATTTTCCAATGAAAATGCACATTTTATAAATGAATAAGGTGGACGTGGGAAGTCATAAGATTTAAACAGCATCTAAATTAAAGAAATGCCAAACAAAGTACAAAACTAATTTCACAGTGCTGAGATTGCACTTAAAAATACATTCATTAAATAATTCATCAATTCATTACATTAATTAAGTTTTATTTAGGTGAGGCATAAATATCAAACATATAAATCTCTGGCAGTGTTGGACGTTGGCAGTTTGTAAATAGATATTAAAACTTTAAATAATTTTCTCCCACTTTAACCGGCTGCACCTGTAGTTCAACGACTGTCAGCCGTCTTGCAGAGCTGGCACTTCCAGCTAATTAACACTGGAGGTAAAACCGCTTGCCTGCTTCAGTGTCTAATTTTAATGTAGTTACTTCAACATGGAAGCCTTTTTTAATGTTGTTTTTGTACACTCTTTGGTATATTTGCGGTATAAGCACGTAACACCAGTCAAACCTTACCCGCTTCGAATGACGTTACTTTTTTTTGGAGTGTTTCACTTAGATTGGACCCAATAATGACATTATATAGAGATGGATCGTATTTCATCTGCTTCTCTTAATAGACAAAGTAAGCAAAAACAGAGAAATCTTACCTGCTTTATTTTCTGGGCTTGCCAAAGCTGTAAAGTAAAATAAATAAGAAAAAGTAGAAAGTCTTTCAATGCTTCTGTGTTTAAGGGGGATAGTTTGTCTGTCTACAATATAGTTTACAAATTTAATATGTAAAAGAAAATTAAATAAAAAATTACATTAAAAAATGATGAAATTTCAATTATTATATTTTGCAATTATTAACAGGACTGTACGGTTAATAATATTGTTGAAATTAAATTAATTAAAAAGACTAAATTTGGTTTATTTTTACAATTAAAATTGTTTGTAGTACATCAGCTATTGCAAAAGCAGTAGACTTGAAAAGAACAGATATTTCAAATTTAAATATTTCATCTGAACGTTTAAACAATTAAAAATATTGACTGTAAATACCTCCTTAGATAAAATAGAAGGTTAAGTATATTCACAGAGTCTGCTTCACAGAGAAATTACTGTACAACTAATAACGAATAAGTTGCTTCAACGGTGTAAATAAAAACTAATTATTAAAATGTTGCAACAATATAAACTTCGTTCATACCATAAATATTTCCCTGGCACAAACATTAAAGCAGCTATTTTTGATTTAGCACTCAAAGGCCGGTTAGTGCCTGCAGTGCACAGATAATCCACTCAAGGGCAGGAGACACATGTCAGACTGCATAGAAGAGGCTTTTCAGAAAGGTTTGCAGCGTTTCAGATGCTGAATTCTCACAAACTGATGTTGATGTGAGTTTTCAACTCAAGCTGACGCATATTTACCTGAGCATTCGTCACTCCCAGAGGCAGAGTTCCTTGCTTGAAATGGTCAAGCAGCTCGACGCACTCCCGCAGCCGTTTCTGATGTGACGGAACATGAGAGTCAATAAAATGTGAAACCAAGTCTGGCCACTCTCGCCTCTATGTCAGCTTAGATGTGTATTTGCCCTCCTGCTATAGGCCTCAATGTGTGATAATTATGTTTTACTAAAACCTCCGTGATGATTTTCATGTGACAAATGAGTTCCCTAAAAGGTAATGAGGAGCTTACTGTGGTGTGATCATTGTCTAATATGGAGGAAAATACAAGGTCATGAGGACCAATTTGTTCTAATGAGCTCGCCATCTGTGTGTGTATGTGTGTTCACGTTTCTGTAATTGTGCGTGTCAGTGTTAGCCGTGCACTTTTTTCTTTTTTTTTACTGTATGCACAGGAGGTCATGTGTGCGTGCGACCGAAGGCAAATCAGGGCTGTCCCTGTTCCACTGTCTGAATTAGGGGCAAGTTGAGGCGATGCCTGGCCCAGCAAGGTGTCATGTGTATCAGTGTGGGTGTGGGTGAGTGTCTAAGCATATGCACTTTCCACCCCTCCCAGCAGCCCCATATGTCCACACCTCATCACATCCCGGGAGGTACTGCAGCTATTAGTGTCACCAAAGAACCCACTAACAGCTTCATTACCCAGAGCACTAGAGCTGTGATGGCTCCATGAGCAAAATTACCACAACACAACCAAGAACTGTGGAAATGTTGCAATGAGCAGAGCAGCCTAACATTTACAGAGAATATCCTGTAACCTAAAGGTGGCACATTTGCTGGCAGTAGCTGAGAATCCTTCATTTTAATTATACCTTTGAGGTTTTCTTCCTTTAATTCAACACCTCCTTCAGTAAATTTTGGCTAATGTTGAATCCCACAAGATTATTGTGCTGCCGTTTTAGCCCAGCTAGGAAACCACTGCGGTTATATAAAACCTGACTTCTCTAAAGATCACCATCACAGATCATCTGATGGAGTTTAATGTCATTTGTATGCAGATATTGTGATACTGTGGCTAACTTGGTAAATAAGCAACCCACGCATGTGATCCATGTAACAAATCCAAAGGTTTGTTTACCTCTGTCACAAAGAGCGTGCTGGGGTCAATCACGTCCAAGAAGTGCCTGAACCGGCCAAAAAACGTGTTCTGAGAGACAAACGAAATGCACATTCATTCATTCATATACAAAGCAACTGTTAGCAATATTGTTTTTTTTTATTAAAGACCAAACATTAAACTGCAGATGCAACTTTAAATATATAATCAGTGGAAAAATCCTGATCTGGAATGTATAAGTTCAGAAAGTCCAACTTTCCACCCAGTCTGCATATAAATTGTTGATCAATTATATGCAGCCAAATCATGATTATGAATCGAGAGCCATGGAGATTCCAGCTGTCGCCCAGTAAACAGCAATATTACCGCTCGCCAGCTGTTTAAACACGCCAGGTGGAGCCTCCTCATTAATGCCAGAGACAAACTGTTTCCTATCTGCATCTTTTGCACACCCAAAACTACTCACACCGTTTTGCAATTAATTCTAATAACGACTGTGCCAGAAATACCTTTCGAGAATTTATTCATAACCGAGCATAAGGAATAATTTAGGGGAATCAGCAACGTGCCACGCAGCCTCGAAAGCCTCCTATCCCTCCCTAACTGGAGTTTAATTACACTAACTGCTAATTTGGATGAAAATCTGGTATCTGACTCACTGCTGTGCCTCGTGACTTCCTGAACATATGGATGGTTTGTACAAACATGGCACAGGGGAAAAGTTGTTAAATCTGGTACATTCAATTACCCACCAGTGCCACTCCAGTTTGACCAGTTTGAGTCGATACTCGAGTGGAACAGACTTGTCTCAGCTTTACTGGAAGGGTAACAGGGGCTTAATCTTATCATTATGTTGTATCAGATCCTGATTTATGAAGACGCAGCCTTTTGAGTTGGTTTCCACATTTCAGCTTCGTCTGAAATTCCACTTTCAATGGAGAAAACTTAACAGTTTTAATAAAAGAAAATTCAAAAAAATATCTCCATGTAATAATTTCACAGGATCAAAATAGGGAATGCTGGAAATTCAATTTTTCCACAGTTCATGCCATACCGTTATACCGGAGTACAGATGGAGACCTCCCCAACTTAGACCAATAGAGTTGGAGTTAAATGCAAATCACCTCAGTGATGGTTAAAAAACTATGAAAGCACAGAAATTAGAGCTACCAAAACAAATAACCATCCTCTGGAACAAGAGATTAAGCTTTGGTCTTTTTCAGGACATTGTCGTAAACCCTACAGAAAATTCCCAGCAAACCAGTACTTTCTAAAATACTCAGACCAGCTCACCTGGCACTCAAATCACCGTTCGTCCTCATTCAGAAAATTAGTTTATGAGCAGAGAACATGCCTACATGGCAAAGTGCATGTGGGCTAATCACATATTTGTGTTGACCAGCAGTTGGACAGGTGTACCTAATAAAGAGGTTGGTGAGTGTATACATCTTATGTCTTATGTTCTTCTTTTTCATTTTTACTGACTCAATATATTTGTGTACAAAAATACCATAAATTGATGTAAATGTATATTTATAGCAGACTAAAAAGTGTATTACACAATAAATCTTCATTTTCTGTTAAAACTTAACTGATTCACCTGGGCGATGGTTTTTGTTACATGTGGCTTGTGGTGCTGAACCGCTATACCCCATATAGAGAGCCGTTTATGACATTTGTCTCATTTATCTAAATGAGGCATATAAGAAGTCAGACACCAAAAGAAGGTCGTACAGTTCAAACTGATAAAGTAATAAACATTTCTCTGAAAGAGCCTCGAAGGTGCAGGCTTGTGTGTATTCGCTTTTGAGGGCACTAGGGTTGAAATATAAAAGGCTAACATAAGATGGAATAAAAGCATATCTCATGGGATACCTGTATGATAACAGCTGACCTGCATATTTTCTGTTAGCACATACAGTGAGGGTCAAAAAGCATTTGAACAACAACACAGTATTTTGCAGTTTTAGCTCTGTGTGCCTCCACAGTGGATTTAAAATCAAGCAATCAAGGAACTATTTAACAATTACAGATATTTTTCAGGAGCTAAAAGCTTGTTGGATCAACATAATTTGAAATAAAATGACTGTTTTTAATACTTGGATGAAAATCCTTTGCAGTCAGTGACTTTCTGAAGTCTAGAATCATTGAAAAATATTCAGTGTCTCTGACTCGCTGCTTTCGATGATTTTCTGCACTGTAAATCGCTTTCTGATCAGTTTTGCAGCATTTGTGCCAAATCGGAGCACAGAGTATATCCCTGTATACTTCACATTTCATCCTGCTACTTTTATCAGCAGTCATGTCATCAGTAAACACTAGTGACCCGGTTCCTCTGGCAAGCATACATGACCGTGCCATAACATTGCCTCCACCCTGATTGACAGATAATGAGGCATGTTTATCTCCTTCTCCATACTTTCCCTCCCTGCACACTGTAGTACAAATTCATCTTGGTTTCACCTGTACAATGATTGACACCAACCACTGAACAGTTATTTTTAAACCCCTTGAATAGAAGCTGGAAGCCTTGACCTTAATCACATCTTGATTTTAAGTCAAGAGGTGGTGTGCAGAGGCTAAACTACAAAAAGCTGCGTCGCTGTCCAAACATTTATGGACCAGCTGCATATTACAGATTTTTACAAGTTTACCTTTGCTCTTGTGATGCGTTCAATGCCCAACTTCACCTAAAGCCTTTCGGATACAGCTTTAAAAGTCACAAGGCTTCACCTAAAGTTATGGTATGACTTTCATTTCAAAAGCGCAATAAGATATGATATGGTATAATGGTCCTGATATGGGTTTAAGAATCCGCCTGCGGGACAGCGCATCTAACCACACACACGCATAAACACGCTGACACGGTGAGTGGGTGTGGTCTGTTTGCCACGCAAATTATGTCCAAAAAATATATTTTGTTACAAGTGTATCTGTTTATGATCAGATAAAAACTGCAAGTACCTGGTCGAAACGAGACTTGCCATACTGGAAGGGCGGATATTCAGACATGCCGCTTCAAATCACCGCCAGCCCTCTTCTTCTCTGAGATTATTAAATGTTTATTTCTTTCTCACCCTCCAACTAACTTTTACAGCTGTGGGACTGCCGTCAAACAGTCAGCTGGCCAAGTTGCACTGTTGGAAATGTAGTTTTTCCGGTCTGCTTCGCTCTGACAGGACGTGGCTTTAACCCCTTTACAGGATAACTACATTTCCCAGAAGAGCTTGCATTGTTTTCGCCTCTTTTAAAACGGGAGGTTAATGTCGAAAGACCTGCACTGGGTTTGGAGTACAACGGTTAAAAAGAGAAATGCTCTTGGTGAGTGCGAGGTTGCTTGAGCTTATAGAGGATAACATACCCCCTAGTGGTGGTTCTGCGGAGCAAACAGTAGCAGCTTGCATTATACAAATGTGCAACAGGGTAACCCAGCAGGAGTTGGGTTTGGTTTGTAAATTTGAGTTCAAAGTATATGATGTCATGACACACGTGGTTTTTAGAAATTATGCATGCTTAAAATTGCTGGTGACTATGCAGTATTCAGAAGAATATCAGTCCTGGAGGTGTGTGAGAGCATGTACAAAGGATAATAAAACTGCAGGAAAAGATTCAAAAAGGATATAAAAAAATGTTATTGTTAATAGTGAAGAACACTAATGACTTCAGTGTTCTGGTGTAAAGGCTACGAGAGGTATTGTGAAATCTCCAATAAGATTTCAGCTCCATCTTTTCAGTGTTTTAAGAAGGTGGAACTAATAAAGGCATGACAAATGGGTGAAATCGTGTATAATATGAGCCCAGTCACTGTCGGTGAAAGGTTCCCAAAAGACAGCGTTCAACATGACATAGCAAGATCACTTGTTTTAATATATCACATTTTATTCAGTTACTACTTTGAAGAATATGCTTAATCTAAAAGAGTCAAACTAGTTAAAGAACTACCTGAATGTCAGGAACATCTAGAACTCTGCTGTTTTAGCAGCTTGGAATTGGATGCAAAATTGTAAGAAAAAACCCAGAGTGAAAGATTCTGAGTTTTTTTAAACAATCAGTGGAAATATGGAAAGAAATAATTACCAGAAAACATACGGTGAGCAAGAAACACAAAATATTCTTTATTAAATATACAAAATTTGTGAAACAGAATTGCATCACGGATTGTAAACTTTCCAATCTTACATACTACCTCAAGCACATTCCACCAGCTACACAGTTGAGGAGAAAAATACAATCAGTTTAAACTGAAATGCAAAAAAAACCAAAAAACAAAACAAAACCTCTGTAAAATGGAAGACGTGAAAGAGGATGTGCCGAGTCACACGTAATGTGCAGTCTCTATAGTCATCTATGCAACTCAATTTCGCAATCGCACAGCAGGACTGAGACGACGGGATAGGTCCGGATGCTTGTGTATGCTCGTGTATGCTTTGAGCTCACTGGCTAGTTATCTGTCGTGACGTTAAAAGTAGGCCGAGTGCTTAAATCACGGAGCGATTAGAAAGTGCAGTACGGTGTAAAGAAGATCTAACTATACCGATACCAGACAGACAGGTACAGTTTTATTCTGACAGTTAAGTAGTGCAAGAACATCCACAAATGCTGTTAAAAGTGGCATCCTATCAGAATACTTTATGGTGTATCACTCTGCTCCATAGATTAAGTTTCAAGGCTTCTTTTTAAATAAATATGTACACACTTTATTTTTGGCATTTCACAGGAAATCACTGTTTCTACTCATTTTCTATTGTTATGCATACATTGTACTTTTGTGCAGCAGTGACCTAAACAATATCAAAACAAAGCATTAGAAAAAACTGAGAGAACAGAAAAATATCAGTGAACAGATGGCTTTTCTTTCTCAAAACCTGCCTCGGGCCCCGACAAGTTCAAACGAAGTGCTCGATTCTCAATGAACACCAAAAAACAAAAATAAGGCAGCATTTGGCATTTCAATACGGCATATATGCTGTAGAACGCGGTATATATCCCTTTGTAACACCTGAAAGCTGTAGCGATATGTGTGCTTGAGCAGAAGCATATGTGACACCCAAGACACTGAGGGAGGGAAGTCAAGTACCAGCATGTCGCAGGCATCTTCTTCTTAACGTGGTGTCGAGAACGCACACGTGGGAAGGCAGAAGCATGAGATCAAATAGCTGGGATGGCTGATCCTGATACTGACTGGATACTGAGTGATACTGTCTTCACCTGATAACACCGTGACCCATGCTAGAATCAGTTAGCTTATGTGGCTGAGCATAACATGCCCAAAGAACAGAAAGAAGAAAAGAGGGAAAAAAAAAAGAGGACGGAACAAGCAAATAAATGGGTGAAAGAAAAAGAAGAAAACACCATTCACTTGCTGGCTAAGAACACTTTTGAACATTCAAAGGCTACAATCAGTTCCCAGTAATGTCCACGTGACAAAGGCTGAAATCTGCTCATTTGGTTTGTAGTTTCAAACACGAGTCAGAGCACTCGGTACTTATCAGGGAACATTAGTAGAGTCTTAATCCAAAACCAAACACGCACAGACACACACTCTGGAAATAGTGGCACGACTCAAACGTTGCAGAAAGCCATACCAAAAGAAACATATCAGTGGTTTTGCACATTTTTATCATGAATTTGCCTTTTTAGTTCACTTTGCATGATTTCTATTTGAAGATTTCGTCCTTCCTTCCAGATAGCCAGACTTTTGAGATCATTTCAATCAGGTCTCAACTTGCAGAGACTTGAAACTTTCCCTCTGTTGGAGGAAATGTTATGGTGCCTTTGTTATTTGTTAGCGGTGTTTCCATTGCGTACTGCAGCGGCTGCTGTTGGCGCTTCATTCTGACTCTATACACAGGGCCCAAAAAAGCCAAATCCAACATAAACTTTCACAAGTTTTACACATGAACTCCAGACAATGCAGGAGAAACTAGGTTAGGGGATTGCCCAGTGAACTGCTCAACACACAACAGGAGATACTGCTGCAAATACTCAATGTGGTTTTCCTTCAAATGTCAGGATTTTTAGTCTCTTTATGTCATTTTTGGCTTTTGAACTGGCAATTGAGCTAGCAACATCTCATTGCACTCCATAAAATGGCGACATTTTCTGAGCTACTATGACATGTAACAAGACAACAAAATGCTCACCCTGATCGATCGTGTCTTGAGAGGCTTTGATTTTCATGCCAAAAATAGCTGAAACAATGTCTGCCTTGAAAGAGGGGAATCAATCTACTACTTGACTGCATGCTGAAAAAAGGCCAACAACTGATGGACTAAATATGCAAAACCACCAGTATGTCTCTTCAGGTTGCTCTGCTCAAGCTACAAAGCTGCAACACTCACGAGGAAGTGTTGGTGTCGTTTCATCTCGAGTGAGGATATAGTCGGATAAACGTCATGTGGACTGAAACCCTACAATTTTCTCTCTTTTGTGATAAGGTGATAGAAGTGACAGGTGAGGTGAGAAGGAAAATTAATTGTTTTACAATCAAGATCCCAAAATTGAAGCATCTGGGTTTTTTTAAACCCACCATCTGGCTTTGTGAACCTGAAAACAACCTGAGGACGCGCTACATTCATAAAACCACTCAGACCAAACCCTTCACCGAGGACGGGTTTCAGTACAGTAAAGCATGCCAGCTGGAAAACGTCGCCTCGACATCTCTCAGTGCCTAAATATTTGTATCAAAAAAGACAGCATAGCAGTGAAAAGACTAAAGAGCTGTTGTGGAGGTTAGAGTGAACAGATGCAACGTGAACTGCAAACCCTCTACCCCCCGCCTGAATTCGTCACTTGAATTTGGAGCGCACTTGCAGGAGGGTGGGCTTCTGCTCCATGATGCGCACCAGCAGTGTGTCAATGTAGTCCTCCAAATCTTTGACCTGCGGCTTCAGTTTCTTCAGCTCCGTCTCCCGCTTGGCCAGCAAAAGTTTCTGACGTTCATACTCCGCCTTCTGCCTCTCCAGCTCCGCCTCGCGTTGCACCAGCAGGTTGACCAGTTCGCTGTGGGTCAGGTGGTAGTATGACCCCGCTCCTTCTGTCAGTGACTTAAGACAAAAAGGAAAAAAAAAGGACAAGAAAGAAATATTAATTTAACAGGTACAGCCTTGTGTCTTTTCATTGCACTCATTACAGAATGAGATTCAGGCGTTACATAGCTACCTTGTAGAAAGGAAGTAAAGCTTCCTGGAGATTTCAAAACAAGTTTCTCAAGGTTCAACTACAGGCCCTGCTTTTTCCCCCCCTATTTTTATAAAGAATATTGCGAAGGACATGCCTGTTCCTGAACTGCACCTTTATACAGATGATATAATACCCTACTCAGTTAGCTCTTCTCTAAGTCAGGCCATTTAGGAGATCCAGACTGCTTTTGAACTGCTGCAGCCATCATTGCCTGGTTTGAAGTTGCTTCTTAATACTAAGGAAACAAAACCTATGCTGTTCACTCCCAGATCTCGACAGTGGCTAGGACTATACTGCCTCACAGCAAGAAGGTCCTGCGTTTGAATCCACGTATTGGTTGGGGCGCTTCCGTGTTCAGGTTCTCCTTGAGGTTTTTCTCTGAGTGCTAGGGCTTCCTCCCACACTCCAAAGACATCCTGGTTATTCTAAGCTGCCTGTAAATGTGAATGGGAGCATGAAAGCCTTTTTTCTGTCTGTTAGCCCTTTTCATAGACACTCCACCCCTACCCCCGTCTCCCAACCTTAAACTGGATTAGTGGAAAAAAAACAAAAACAAAAACAAAACAGATGGACAGACTAATGAAATATCCCAGATCTCAAATAATCTCGGTATTCATACGCTAGGAGAAGACTTAGTGTAAAAAGGGTAATCCTACAAATACACATGTGTCTTGCTGGATGATAGACTTTTCTTTAACATCATATTGTGTACACACTGGTTTTTCTATTATCAGAATAGGGCCTTTTTTAAATTTAGCACTCAGGAAAACACTCGGACATAATATGTTTTTAAAGGTTTTCATTATGATTCTATTATTTGTTCTAAACTTCGTGTATCACAGTTATTTGTATTTCATATCAAATTCATTGTCCAGTACACATTCCCATGTATTTTGTGGTCTAGACAACGTCACTGGTATAACTATATTAACAAATCCGT